CCCCCTTTTGATCAGGAGTCTTCTATAGAATCTTTGATCAAAATACTCAGTATTTGTAGCTGGGTAACATCCAGGTCTTCTGGACTCATGGCAGAGGAGGCAGCTGTTCATGGAGGCAATTAGCCACACATCCATTTCCTCCTCTTATACCTGACTCTCTTTCTTCCTTTGTTGCTGCAGGTGACTAGAGACCAATTGTTATTCATTGGATGCTTTTAAGAATGCAAGGCATCAGAAGCACTAAAAATGTTATTAGGCCAATTAACTAGGTTGAGATAAAGATTTTTTGATTCTCTATTCTCCTTTAGCATCTATATAAGTAACAAATTCATTGTGTTTATTGTTTTCTTTGCATTCTTCCAGGATGTTACATATGTACCAACAGGCCATTTAGCACATATGTATTATGTACATATGGTGTAGTACCTAAGGCATTTGACTGGTAACCAGAAGGCTGGCTGTTCAAGCCCACCAGCCACTCCTCAGAAGAAGATTGGACAATCTTCCTTAGTGATATCGCCTCAGAAACCTGCCATTTGTTAGAACTTTTTGAGAGATACATGTGTTCTCAGTATTTTATCTGTATCATGACAATCAACCTACAAGGTAGATATTATCTCACTCACTTTATTGATAAAGAAGCAGTTTGATATGTGGTATTTGATAAGAAACAATGACGAGTCATATAGTGGCTAAACCAGTTAGTTAAAGACCAAGTTAGCGGCAGCGCTGCCTTCTTGAGTGCCTAGCCTTTTATTCGTATCACTACCTTGTGCTAACAGTCTGTTCTACTCATTGTTGGATTGTCCAGTAAGCAAGGTAAGCACAGGCTTACTTGAGCTTACTTACTAATCTATAGTGAACAATTTCACATTTTTTTTCACCACATCAAAGATTCTGCTTCTAGGCATGGCTGGCATCTTTCTGTCTCCCAACCCCATGCCACCTCCAAACCCTCTTTTCAAGTTTACAGTCCCTGAAAGGGACAGAATACTCAGTAAACCAAACCAAACTCACTGCTGTGGGGTCAGTCCTGACTCATAATGACCCCTCCTTGGGTTTCCGAGGTGGTATCACTACGGAAATAGATTGCCCAATCTTCCTACTCAGTAAGCCCATGTGAAATTGTTCACTACAGATGAGTAAGTAAGCACAAGTAAGCTAGTGTTTACCTTGCTCATTGGGTAATCCACTGCTGGTTCTGTATTGTATTTACTTCAGTTAGGTTTGCACTATAGTTGCTTGTTGTCTCTTTCTACAATTACATGGTTAAGTAAACTCACTAAAGGCAGGGGTCATGTATGTCGTAGGATGTTTAGTAGATTCCTCAGTACCAAGTACAGACTTTGGTTATATAGTAGGCTGCTGCTGCTGCTGCTTCTTTTTTAAACTTGTGGTGAAAATGTACATAACAAGACATTCGCCAACATAACAACTTCTACATTTACAGCCCAGAGACTTTGATGATATTTTCATGTTGTGCCACCATTGTTGCTATTCTTTTCCAAAATATTCCACCATGATGAGCATAAACTCAATGCCCCACAAACAAAAGCTTCCCCCCTGCCCCTGGTAACAACTACTAATCTTGAATTCTCTCTCTATATGTGTATAAAAACATATACTCACTGCCGTTGAGTCAGATCTGACTCATAGCGACCCCTCCTTGGGTTTCTGAGGTGGTATCACTACAGAAGTAGATTGCCCAATCTTCCTTCTGAGGAGTGGTGTGGGTCTGAACCACTAGCCTTCTGGTTAACAGTCAAATGCCTTAGGCACTACGTCACCAGAGCTCTCTCTCTCTGTATTTATTTTCAACCAAAGAATTTTCCCTCCCTGTAGTAGGCTTCTCAACAAGTGATTGTTGCAATGAAAATTCCAATATGCCTAAGGCACTTGACTGCTAACCAGAAGCCTGGCGGTTCAAACCCACCAGCCACTCCTTGGAAGGAAGATGGGGCAATCTACTTCTGTATGATACTGCCTCAGAAACCCAAGGAGTGATTGCTATGAGTCGGGTCCGACTCGATGGCACAAAACAACAACAACAACAACAACAACATATAGGTACTTGCTGTCAGGATTGCTTCTTGTTGAACTGAGCTGTACAAATGAGATGAAATAAAACAACCATATAAGGTAGGGGAAGGACAAATCAGCAAGAATGGGCCTAGTTTTAAAGTACTGATTGTAAACTCAGGACAGTGTTTTGAGAAAACTTGTACTCAGTATTATCATTTTTCTTCAAACTTGGTTTATTTCTTCTGAAGTGTGAGCTAAGTTAGCCATTTCTAACATGATGGTTTTAAACCAAAAACTCAAGGCAGTGTTATTTGTTTCATACAGGCTTTTGGGCAGAGTTTCAGCAAATGAGGCTTTGACATTTGGGTAAATGTTAAAATACCTCAAGGCTCATTAATAGGAAAGGGTTTTTTCTTGCTTTTATTTTACTGACCAAAAATGTGGGGAGTTGGCAGAAAACCTTGGGAAAACGAAAAGCTCCACTTATCCCATTCTGGTATTACTCATCCTAACTTAAAATAAACAACATAAAAAAGAAGCATTTACAGATGGGCCATGGCTACACATTTATTTTTTATTTTTGTATAAAGTGGACAATGCCATTTTTAATGAGAGTTGCCAAGATGTGCATAGGACGACGGAGTGATTGCACTGAGTGAGTGAGTGATTTAAATGAAAGTGCACAGAACCCAGACCAACGTCCAGTGTTGGATGATGACGGTTGCTTCCAAAGACTGTGGCCCAGGAACCATCATGCTTTGATGAGAACAGGGAAGGGCTGCATGGTTTGGTTGTGGCTTGGAGAAGGACCATTTTCTCCTTTGTTAAAATAGTATCATGTGATGTCTAATAAAAGTCTCCTGATGTTAATCTCATGCTGAAAGGACAGATGTGGCTATTTCCTTCCCTTGTCTTGTCCAGTCAAAGCATCCAGTTATAATGCTTGGGGAAGGACTTCTGCAAAAACGGCGAGAAGGCCACATATTCTGACCTCCTCTAATCCCACAAGAGGAAGGCAGAATTACCAGCAGTAACCCAAGGCCTATTCCT